CCAAAAATTCCTCGAACACAAAAACCCTGGAAACATGTTTTTGGATATCAACTTTGCAGAATTAGTTGAACTATTTAAAACCTTGAACTATTGCAAAAGTTACAATTTTTTTGGCCGAAAACAAATAGATCATGAGGCATTGGAAAAGTTGTTTCAAAAAATTTTATCAGAGCTGGTCAAGAATTGTAAACCAGGAGACTTAGAGACAGAAATCTTCAGAGGTTTCCTAAACTAAAATGAGAAATCTGGAACTTCAGAAAAAGATGATTATCGAATACCTAACCCCCGAGATAGTATAAGCGTGTGTCCCGATCCACAAAAAAGGCACAAAGATTCACCAGCAGTATGTAAACTATCCTGTAAATAGATATGTACAAAAATCACATTATATATAAAACCACCTACTCTGAATATTGTAGTAAACACTAAATGTAGAAAATGTTGACACAAACTCAAGAAAAGGCACCTCATATTTTGTCCGGCTAAGGACAGAACCTGCAATAACAGTGGCCGCAAAGATCATTTTACTAAGCCTTGTAGAAGTACTGCCAGAGCACAAACAAGCGCCGTAGAACAAAATTTAAATTTACCCGAACAACAATCCTATTGGGATACCTCGCAAGATAATCCCGAATTGGAAGTCGATTTGGACGATTTTTTAGTCTAAGCGGTAGGCAGCGATAACAAGGTAAACGTTATAAAATATCCAATTGAAAAGGAATTAAAACAGTTTTTACACATGAAGGACACCAGTTAAAGAAAACACTTATGGTATAAAAAGGAAACTTTAACCCAATCTGCACAGAAATACCAATTGATTCGGCCAGCCCAGTAATTTTTATGAAAAAAATGTACTCCACGACTTCAAAATAAGAAATAGATTCCTAAAACTCGAAGCCGTGAACGAGTTTATTAAGAAGGTTTATGAAGGGTTTGAGAGCACGATCATTATTATGGAGAAATTTATAGTAGGGATGCAATCAAAAGGCTGGGACGCTAAAAATCAAATTTTATACATTACCCAAGGCTCAGAGAAAACTTGCTCGGCAATAACTTCTTGCCAAATCTGGGGATACAAGTATGCCATTAGCAGGCGCCACTCGCATACTCGATACCATGGAGATCTCCAAAGGAAAATCCCATCGCGAGGGAAGTGAACCAGGTCAGATCAATTAAAATATCGTGTGATTTAGACGACATTTTAATTGCTGCAATTGGTAGCACTTAAGGCCATTGTAAATTAGTTTAAAACGTTTCAAAAACTTAAAATGACAAAAAGATTAGCCATAAAAAAGGAAAAATGCAAATATATAACCCACAAAATAGTCTGGCTCGGGTTCCAGATGGGTGTTAAAGGAACCAACCCCTTAACCCACAAGTTTGATACCATTCGTAACTTTGAATAACTAAAGTGTATCAAAGATATTTAATTGTTATTGGGTTCAATTAACCAAATCAAAAGCTTTATAGCAAATCGAACCTCCCTATCTACAATGCTCCGAGAATTAATGCAAAAGAATAAACTGTTCAACTGGTCAGATATACATCTCACGGAGCTTAGGAAGATCAAGAAAGAATTCTGCAACATGGTAACAACCATCGCTCAAACTCAAAACAAGGGTAAATGCGATGTATCTCACTGAGGTCTGGACGCTTCCCTTGAACAAGACGATGGGGCACCCGGAAAACGGTAGCATGGGCCAGTAGATTTCTAATTGTAGCCGAATTGAATTATAGTTCTGATCATCATGATTTTTTGGGATGAGTTTGGGCACTACATCACTTCAAGAACTAGGCAAAAATCACTACAGATCACAAAGCATTCATTGGGGCTTTAAAAGATGACAAGTTTACAAAAACGGCCCAATCCTGTTAACCTACTGGGTGGATAAATTATTACCTGACAATTTTCCTGTCAAACATCTTCTGGGTAAAGAAATGGGTCTCCTAGATTACTGTCCAGACACCAATTGGGCGAACCCGTTATGCGTCTTTTGACGACTCAAAGTTCGTCATGGCCTCGGTAAACTATACTTGCCTCCTCTTTGGCTTCGAAAACATGACGCCAAGATATTCTCGTTCGCAAGAAAAAGAAAAATTTTCTCAGCAAATAGAGATATTTGATGCAAAATACTGCAATATGATTGGTCTGTTTGACAACAAATTAACAACAAAAGGAATCAAATGTGAGAATCGAATTGAGAACGCTGCAGAAAATTTGCAAACTTTATACGCTCATTCTAACTTTCTGTGTACCAAAATTCTCCCTCGCATACAGAAAACTGCTCTTCTTCCTTTAAAATAGATGATTTTTCCTCAAATTTTAAAATTCTTTAAGAAAAGTCAGATCTAATTGATTCAATTGAAGAAATTTCGCCAGAGAACCAAAAACAAAACATTGAGAAAACTGCGCAGACATCGAGGAGAACATATGGAAGAAGACTCATCCTCGTCAGATGACGTTGCTCACGCAAAAAAATATGTATCTACCAGCTTGTACCCTCTATCCAAGGTATTTCACGTGCGGAAAAACGAAAAGCCTTAGGAGTATCCAAACCCGTAATGAATGTCCCAACGGCGCTGAAAAGATGAACCGAACCAAAGAAAGCGAATCTTCGCAAAAACAACCAGCTAATCAAACGTTATGCCACAAAAGGGCCTAGATAAATAAGTATGTAAGCCAGCTAGAAAAGATGGTTTCAAAAGCTTGACGACTACAAACGAAACTGAAAGACAAAAACTGAGCAGCCAAATTTTGCCAGACGTAATGCAATTATGGACAACTCGAAGGAGACCCTTTTGCGAGAAGATCAGATGAGCGACTTCCTAGGAAACTTCCTAGGAAACTCGAGGGAAACCCTTTTGCGAGAAGATCAGAAGAAGCGACTTCCTAGCGACTTCCTAGGACTTCCAAGAGAGCGATTTAACCCCATCGGTACAACCCGAACCAATTCAATCTTCACCTGCAACAGAAAACTACCAACTATTCTTGAACATGCCAATGGAGACCGTTACTGACGACGACTCGAGCGATACAATTCTATTTAAAGACCTACAGCCGACTACTCAATCCAAACCAATACCAAAATCACATCAACTTACAAACCTACCCAAGGAAATTAAACTGGAAACAGAACCGCATACAGTGGATCTTGGGTCCGACGCAGACTATGACAAGATTCAAACTCCTGATGATCTTAAAACCACAAAAAGCCCAAATATCGGAAAATTTCCAATCCCACCTGTTTTTTTTTTAGCCTGGATGACGCTGAGGACTATCCAACTAGCAACAGATGGCAACTTGTCGCTAACCCTCGTAAAATTACCATCCCCAAAGAAATCGCAAATCCAGAAGCTTATGCAGACAAAAACACCCAGAACAACTCACAACCGAGCCAAAACACATCCAATTTTCCTCAAAGTCAAAACCAACAGGAAAAACTAAAAGGAAAACATCGCCATTCTGAAACATTCAACGCCACGTAAAATTTCAGACTACCACATCAGACACAAAGCAAGACCCCTTTGAACCAGACATTCACCGCCTTTGATGGGTCAGAGAGTCTTCACTAATTTGGTAGAAGAGTCAGACGACCGGCCGGGAAAACACCAATCAACGAGCCTTAAGACCCCTCTGATATCCAGTTTAGAGGCTATCACCGTGGAGGTGGAGAACCCACCAGTTATTTATGTAGACCTCACTACCCCTGACTCGTCACCTTTAATACATTTGACCCCCGACATCTCAAAGTTGAATCGAGAAGACCTAGCGGGTAAAATGAAATTGATCTTCAAAAACTCGTCTACCTCGTCACCGCAAAAACTTTATTCAAACCGAGAGTTCAAGAAGTTAAATCGATCCGACGGGCACCCCCAAAGGATAACAAATTCCGGATATCTTTGACTGAATGAATAACACGTCAATTATTGAAGCAATGGATCGCCTGGGATGCGCAATGACCCTGGATGAGCCTGGTCGCTGAACCGCTTTAAGGCTGGTAAACGAGATGCCGTTTAGAAACCTTATCTCAAAAAACTGAGATTCACTTCGTAAAAGGCTGTAAAAACATCAGTATTTCCCCCTCTCTTTGCCAAAAAATTTTTGGATTCGATTTTTTAACGACTTTAAAATTTGGTTGTTTTTTATGACCTATTTTTTAAACAAACCAGTTTTTTTTTCATCTCATTGCCGAGTGAGTCTCGATTGACCTTTCAATTGAACGCCACAGCTATAGTTTTCACAAACCTCCTTGTCGCTAAAACCTACCCAATCATCACCACCGGTGCATTTTTGCTTGTCCATTGGTAAATTTTTCAATCAAAGCTGCTTTTCCAAAAAGTTTTCAAGGCGAATGTGAGAAGTTCGTATTAACCTTCCGTCCAATTTTTGTATTAAAGATTTATTCAACGTACCCGCCAGAAGCACATCGACTTTTGAATCTTTGTGACATTGTTCCTTGTTCTTTTGAAACCATTCGTAAATCAACTTCTTAATCTGAGTCTTTTTTTTCTAGTAAGCTTAATACATTAACGTAAAGTAACTTGTCTTTTAAACTAGTCTTAGTTTAAATGTGTACTAAACTTTACTTGGCAGAATTACTCTTGCGTGTACATAGTCTTAAATACTCTTAAATTAGTCTCAATTTAAGTAACCTTTTATCAATCTTAGCGTGATTTTTATCACTTGGTTATTATTACTTTTTAACTGTATTATTTTCTCGCATTATACTCTAAAAAATAGTTTCAAAAAAATTTATGCGTTGAGAAAAATTGGTCTGACATTTTAAAAGGCTAAATTGACAAACTTTGTTGAGAGGCTGACCTCCCAAATTTAATTTTTCAAGAAAATCAACAACAATATATTTTATTGTTATGTTGACTATTGTTACTATCATTTTTGCACTTCTCATCCAAATTAATCGCGAATTTTAGGAAAAAAATTTAAAAATAAAAAAAAGTAAATGCCAAAAATTGCAAAACAAATAGCAAAAAAAGTTTTGTTCTGAATTTCTTTTCTAAAATCTAATTGGTTGGAACATTCTGTGCTACTTGTACAGCAACCGGCTATCATTTTGTTATACTGATACTGTTTTTTTTTGCATCGGAGCAAGGTTACGATTGCAGAGATGACTTTTTTGTATTCAAAAACCTTCTAGAATCGGAGGATTTCTTTGGGAACATGTCATCTACTATAGGAAACGTAATTGGCTGATAATGTCGTTTAATTAGAGTTATTCGTCGTTCTAGAGCTATTCAGCCCTTGATGGCAAAAACACGAATTTCGGATGGAAGCCCGGGCGGACTCCACATAACCACCCCCGGACGACCAGCTCATTAATTTATCTCAAAGGGCTATTCTATTTTTTAGGTTTGAGGAAAAGTGGGCGCCAAAAAAAGCAATATTTTGATCAAACATTTTTTAAAATGCCCAAATATAGATTTATAGCTCTATTTTTCAAAATATGACTGGGAAGCAGATATCTGTGCCTTAGTCGGGTCTCTAAGACGTTTCAGGAGAAATTAAAAAAGGATTTGTTTGATCAAAAAAAGTTTTCAACTTTTCAGAAATATAACCACTTAACTTCTAAAGTCTATCTGGACTTACGCACGGTCTAGCGAAAAGGTTTATAGTGACGCATGCATACTTGACCTTGAGGAAATTCTTAGGTACAGACGTCACTGACCGAAACATAAAACATTGCAAATAAGTTTTCGCGCATTTTCAGCTGGTCATCTTTCGAATTGGATCATTATTCAAAAAATTTTATTGGCAAATTTTAGAGAATTAATTTTATATTAACAAAAATTTTGAGATGTCTCATACCCAAGCATTCCGTGGGCTCTACGTGAATATCAACGATGGAAACTTACCCGCCTCTGTCTCAGGTCAGGCGAAGCGCAGAGTTACAAATGTGGGCACTGCAACTTCATCACCCGTGAATTGCTCCTCCGATTCTTCTGTTATCTCTGTGGATTCCCCTCAGGTACAAGTTGTATGATTCATAGGTCCCAATATGGTTGAGATGTAAAAGTACGAGCATATGCTTACTAAGGAAGGGACCAATAAACAATTTAAGTTCTTCATGGAGATCCTCCGTATGACTACTTATGTGCCATGATGTCATGAAGTCATTTTATGGGCCATGGGTAAAAGAAAAATAGCACAGCTATGCTAAATTCGTTTAATTACAAGCCTTTGGGTCATTTTTTTCCCTAAGGACGTTTGATATTGTGTTTTATAAAATATTTATTAGGGACCCAACTATCATACTTTTGTCTCTTAGAACCAGTACACGTCTCTTCGGAAAGAAAACGGAAAGCTAGTAAGTCGTGATGGGCAGGAGTTACGTCACGTGGCCTCGCTGTACAAGATCAATCAGAAAAACAAGGAGATGGAAATAAAAAGGGAAGCCGAAAAGCAACTATCTGAAAACTTAGGAAATGTAAATGAACATGTCATAGTTAATTCCCAAGTCGAACAAGCCAAAACTCACAAAGCAGAGCCTGAAACTCAGATAAACGGACTTTCTTCTGTGATGGCGACAGCTTTAGTTCCCGAAACTTTGGACGCCCCTGATGCTGAGACATTGCCAATCGAAAATGATCAGAGCAAAAATAGAACTACTAATCCATTTATCCGACAAAGGAAGAGTTCTTTTACGATTAATCGTGGAAGATCGCGACGAGACGAAAGCGTACAGACTGTTCCAGACGACTCAGACGATTCTACATGTGCGGGCGAAGTCAAAGTCTCGGCGCCGAGGCTAACGAAAGGTCCGACAACTCGTTCCCGAGCGAGAAGTAAACTCGTCATGCAGACATCGTCTCCTTACTGTTCCAGCGACACGAGAGAAGTTTCTGTTTCGCCTGTGTCGGTTCGCTCAGGGGGTTTCCAGTTGCCGACTGTGGAGTTGTCCCGAATGAAAGTTACATCATCGGAAGCCAGTGACGACTCACATATTGTTGCCGACTCGACCTCTAGAGTATCGCAGACGCCTCTTAAGCAACGAACGCTGAAACAGTTACGCGAAGAGTTACCAAAGTTTAATCTTGCCAACGTGGAGTCATTTCTGACTTCCAAATTGGAAGAGTTGGAATATCGGCAGACAGTTATAGAACAAAGTTTGCAAGAAATATCCAGAGAGAAGGAAAAGGCTGCTGTCCATTTAGGTTTTACCAAGGATATTAAGAAACGACTGCAAAAATCGAGCGTAAACCGAATTTTTGCAAGAAAAACAGACGATATAACGCAAAAGGCCTTTGAATGGCGAGATTACATGGTTGAATGTGGTGACATTGAGACCCTTGCGACCAGAAATGACAAAATTTCGAAACTTCTCAAAAATATGAACCTGGTTTTCGCAGAGAACGAAATTCAAAAGTGGAAAACGGGGAATGTTTTGCATGAGTTTGAACAGCTCAATACTACTAATTTGAGCAATGTTGTCAGTATTTTCGGGTTTATGTGGCAGATCGTCTTAAGAGTCAAAGTTCAAGATCAGAACATCGCCCTATCGGTTTGCTTGCTTTGCCTGGGACCTGAGCTTCGAAGTCAATCAAATACTTCCTATCATCTGGAATGCACTGGAAAAGTGGACATCAAGTTTCAGATTCCCTCAGTTTTAAAGGAAGCCTCAGAAACTTTTAGATACACTGATTTGCTCAAAATGAAATTCGCTGGCAGACCTTTTGCCAAAGAAATTTTGGTCACCAGTCTTAATACTTTCAGAGACAATTTTGACATAACTTCGTGTCATTCGAGCTGGTCGAAAATTGCGTGCAATATTTCCATGAGAGAACCGCAGCCAATAGTTAACTAACATTGATATATATTTGATTCCAATTTTCTCGAGACTGATAAAAAATGGTAAATAATGGTGATAATAATCGAAGTATATAATGAATATTGTATCTGAATACCTGTTATATAGATTTTATAAACTTTAGGTTTTTCAATGAAGACTGCACGAGAGAATATAGGTATATCAGAGGAACACGTTTTTTTTCTCATATCAATTAATCACACGCCAAAAACTCGGTTTGCGAGCTTTAGTGATTTCACATGATAGTAAAAAATGCTTTTTACCAGAAATTGTATTGAAAAGTTGTGCTAAAAAATTGTTTAATACGGCTCACTTACGGTTTTTAATTCATGTGTAGGGTTGCTATACGCATGTATTATTTATTTTCACACCTCTTTCTGTCCAAAAGTTAACCGAATTATTTTCCAAAACCAACATCAGCCGGAAGCCGGATTTGTTTTCACACACTCGCCTCGTCCTAAAATATGTACAAATTTCGGTATCTAAGTTTGGAAGGCCACGTCCATAGCCACCTTGTGACCTGTAATAAGTTAATTAAGATTTTTTCACGTGATTTAAGGCTTGAGAACACAAAAGCCAACTAAGCTAAGAGTTAAAGTTTGACAGCGTATTTGGATATTAGTTTAAGATAAGAACTAGTAGTTTGAGTTGGTACCAACTAACCTGAAATGGACACATTGTGATAAGAACGCTAAATTAATAACAACTTAAGGCAATTTTACTGGGCGAATCGACATCAGGTGAAAAACTTAATTGATCACGCATAGAAAGGCGATTACGCGTCAGAATATATCAATCAGAAATGGCATGACTTACAAAACGGTTGAACTTCAACTAGATCAAATATCTACTATTGAAATAAAGTTTCCGGTCAAATATATTGAAGTGGGACGTATATACAAACTTGACCGGGATTAGGAAACATACCAACCAAAAGCGCCATTAAAAGGAGTGGGTGCAAAATTGTACACATGAAAAAATCGCAAATATTCCAAATCGTAAAGATCGAGCGTAGAACAGAACGAAAAGCAGAACAAGTTAACGATTGAACAAATCAGTAGGACCGAGTGGGTCGCTACTTGAAACAAATTTGTTAATTGTCTCACTGTGATTGAATTCAGGCACCCGTCAGTAAGTACTCGTAAAATAGTCGTTAGTTAGATAAAAGTTGTTCAGCTATCAAGAGGATAGCAGTTTTGTTAATGAATAGTAAAGTGGGAATTGGTTTACGGAGGTAATTGATAGTAGTGATCGCGGACCCATTCCTTTGATAGAATATTTAAATTAAATTCCGGCCACACTATATGCTGTTTTTATAGTTGGTTATTTTTTCTTAATTCATAATTATCGGAAGTGTTGTTGCGATTGACTACGAGTGAGTTACAGCCGAAGAGCACGATCGATATGAGGGACGTGCAACATAGTACAAAAGACAACACTATCCACCAAATTAACCCTTTCGTGGTTGTTGAAGGTGTTGTTTTTCGATGCCTCCATCGGATTCAACACTAAGGGCGAAACCTGCGGCGAGTTCAGTAGAGATGCACAGATTTGTCTGGAGGGCTGTAACCTCGGTATCCACATTGGCGCTCCTGGGTGGGCGATCATCTCAATTGCAATTGCGATACGATACATTTACGAATCGATTAAGGTAGAAGATGGAAAATCAACAACGACCAATGATAGATGACGAACAACGACAGTTGATGGCAGAGGCTGCAGTGGTGTGTTTTGATTCGGGACGATACGCCCGGACTGATTTCCGTCCAGTAGCTGCCAGAACTCGGCGGATTGGAGAAAACGTTTTGCATGGGTCGACGACGCAAATTTGTGGGACGACGAGCAGGCCCGTATGATTTTGCCAACTTGCCTAACGGGCTGGGCTCTTGACGAATTCACCAGTATGCCAGCCCATGTTCGAGAAGAACTGGATGGATTCGATGCTAACCAAGCTTGATCATCGAATGAAGCCGTTTCACACCAAGACGGTGCCAGGGCTGAATTCAAAAATTTGATACAAAGCGAAAAAGAAGGCATCACAGTTCTCCAGGCGAGTCAGATCCCTCGGTGTCGAGGCGAATGCGAATGTTGAAGCCCAAGCGAGGGATGCAATGTATCGTGAGCAGTTGATCGATGGGCTCTTCGATGTCGAACTACAAGAACAGCTATTACAAGAAGACCTTGGGAACTTTGCACAGGCAGTCGCTCGATCACAGGCGCTGGAGCTAGTGAACAAGTCATCAAAGGCCTGGAACAGAAAGAAACTGCATCTTTCACGCTTGACAGAGGGTATCCCAGAGCCAGCAACTGAGGTCGGTCGCGGTGGCGGGCAGGGCGGTCGAGCACCTCAAGTGGGGACTAACTCGGAACGTCAACCAGCTGGTGATGACCCAAGGATCGACCTCTTGACACAGATGCAGAACAGATGGCAGCCACGATGAGTAGGTTTCTTAATTCTGTTATCCCTGCACCCCACCCAGAAAGTCTGCCCAACAAGAGCCACTTCAGCGACCCAGACAATTGTTTGACCCCTATCCTGGTGAAAACCGCCCAGATTTTTAATCCAATGGAGGAGGAGGTACGGGGAGAAAAACATGATACTCCGTGGGAAATGTTTCTTCTGTAGACATCCCGGACATTTTGGGAAGAAGTGCCCTCAGAAGACTTCAAATCCTTTAAACTACCGAGGGCCGGGACAGTAGAGGCATACCAAAGAGGTTGGTCCCGGCCGAATTCAAGAGTCAGCAACAACACAATCGGGTCCCCGACTAGTGCTTTCCCCCTAGAAAACCCTAAACACCGACCCGTCTCTCAGTGTGAAGTGGAAAAATGGACCCCAGCAACGGAACAAATGCAGTCCTTGTTCCATCAAGCGACTCCCAGCAAGTTGATGGGATCGATGCAAACCACGAACTCGAAGTGTCAGACCGAGATGTCTTTAGAGACCGTAAGGGTGTTACAAGTACCAGAGGTATCCTTTGGGCTCATTACAGAAGCGGATGTGGGGGGGGGGGAACAAAGTAAAGGCCTTAGTGGATACTGGCGCGACATTCAACCTCATCCGGAGCGAAACCTACGTTGGACTGGCGGAAAAACCGGGACTGCGACCCTACTATGGCTCTTTGCAGACAGCGAATGGGTGTCACGTGGCAGTCGACAGGTGGACCACGATGAAATTGAAACTCGGGCCAATCGACGACGGGGTAGAAGTGCTGGTGTTCCCAGAGCTAAGGGCTGAGATGAATATAGAAATGCGATCTCTGAAAAAGTTCCAGTGCTCATTGTACTTCCAATGCGACAACCAGTGGACGGGACCACAAGAAGGAGCGATCGTTCCTCTGTTTTATGAACCCTTAACGATCTCACCGTCCCCCACAATTCTCGGAGAAGGTTCCAGGAGCTAAAGCGGATAATGCTCAGCCAAGCTATGCTTCCGCTGACCCAGGGAAAGGAAAGATTGGCTGAACTCCGACAAACATCACGATGTACCGTCAACTAACGAACTGGGATCGATCGACCTTCAAGTGCAGCGAAGCGATACCTGGACGAGGACATCAAGAAGTTTATGGATTTAGCGGCACCAGGAATGACCAGTTTCAAAAAAGACAAACTAGCTGACCTTATCCGGTCCTCCAGAGACGTATTCGTCTTGACAGATAGCGAATTGGGGTAAACCAGCCTAGAAACGCATCGGATTGATACCGGTAACAACCAAAATCCCGCCTCATCGGACCTCCCCAGCCAAGATGCCGATCATAAGAGACGAAGTGAGGAGAATGCTAGAGAAGGGAGTGGTTCAGGCCTCCAAGAGCCTGTATAGTGCTCTAATTGCCTTGCAGAAGGAGAAAGATGGCAGTTAGCGATTCTGTGTGGATCATCCGAAGCTGAAGGATGTGAAGATCAAGGACGCTTTTTCGATCCCGCAAATACATCAAACCTTCGATGCTCTTAATGCACAAAAGTAGGATCTGGCCAGCAGGTATTGGCAAGTAAATGTGGCCAAGAAATACCGGCACAAGACTGCCTTCGTCACCCCGGATCGTGGCCTCTACGAGTACGTAATGATACCTTTTGGGCTATCGAACAATCCAGGAACCTTCCAGCGGCTCATAAACGAGCTGTTTCGGGAACATTTCGGGAACAAGCTGTTTCGGGATTTTAATTTCGTGTAGAGGCGGTCTCCAATTGGCCAGTACCCCCACAGTGAAGGGTATGAGATCCTTCCTGGGGTTCTGCAAGTACTACCGTCGGTTTGTAAAGGGCTTTGCCGGGATTACGAGTCCGTTTTCTTCTTTGAAAAGAAGAAGTTGCCCTTCATCTGGTCGGAAGAATGTGAAGGAGCTTTCGACCGACTAAGGAAGGAACTTATTACGGCCCTAGTGTTGGAGTTTCCCGGTGGAACCTTCATACTGGACACAGATGCCAGCAGTTCTTAATTAGGAGCAGTACTCTCGAATGTCATTGATAGGGAGAAGAGGACCCTAGTGTACGCCAGCAGGGTTTTGTCAAAGACGGAGACCAACTATTCCACAACAAGAAGAGAAGCTCTGGCCGTGGTTCAAATCCTATATCTGCGGGGGGGTTAAGTTTGTCCTTCGAACGGACCAGTTCAGTCTCCAATGGCTGTTCAAGCAGAAAAAACCCGACGGAATGACTTTCCGGATGCAAAGACAGCTGCAAGAACTCGATTTTTACGTGGTCCACAGAGCAGGGATGAAGCCTGGAAATGCAGATGGCCTTTCACGGATGCTAGAAGAGGGACCAGACTGGATGCCAAAGAAGAGAGAAGAATACTTTGGGACTTGTCCAGATCCAATATACCCTTAAAAAGTCCCTACGGAGAGCGAGTCAGCATCGGTGGTCACCGAAACCGACTTTTGGAGATCTCGGTTCTCCAAAAATACGTTGAAGTTTTTGCCCAGGTGTTCTACTGGGCCAGTCTGGAATCGGAGACGGGTGACATGCGTTCACTCGAAACAAATCTTGTTTCCAAAGATCAGGCGATTCAATCTGGACCTGAGGCCTTGGCGTATTGATCGAATTGGAAAG